GGTCATTTGTGTAGATGTTGAACATGGATGGAGCAAGCACGCTCCCCTGAGGCAGGCCTTTCTTCTGTTTCTTGTGTAACAAGATGATTTGTTGTTTATTAATGCCCGGGCCATAGGCTATTTGCATACAAACAAACAAAAGTGCAATATAATATTGAATTTTAGTACCAAATCTCACCTATTAAAATTCAGTACAGTTGAAATACAATACAACAATAATACAAACAATAATATTAAAATTCCCCAGTTTTTTGTGTTTTTATTTACTGTTATGATTTTAGAGTTTTTAATACCGGGTGCCAGTTTTTGTTCATTTCCGTGATTTCCTCCCTTTTTGTTGAAATTGTCTACATGCTTGTGGCTTTCAATGGCTGCTCTGTGTAGCTTGTGAGAGTGTTCCAGCATTTCTATGTTTTCAGATAATATGCTGTGCCCAGGTTGGTTCATCAGGTGCTCTGCTATGGCTGACTTCTCAGTTGGATTAGTCTGCAGTGCCTTTCGTGTACCCTGATTCGTGTTTGAAAATCAACAAAATCTGGATACCAGCATTAAAAAAAAACTCCAAAATCATAACAGTAAATAAAGAACAACACTCAAAAAGGGAATTCCAGACAAGAAACAATAAGGGCCAACTAATCACCTCCCAACAAAGGATTCCCCAAGGGAGTAAGAAGCCAGACCTTGAAACTGGTAGGGCATTAAATACTAATCAATGTGGCCAGCTGCAACATTCACACCTACTGAAACAGACAAGAGTTCTTTCCCCCCACCCTGGACACTCCTGAGTCCCCTTCGGGGTTAGAAGGGCGGAATATAAATGTTTTAAATAAATAAGTTAAATATATAATTCCACAGATATATAAAAGCAATTTTCCTAGTTTCCAACAGACGTCACAATCCCTGAGGATGCCTGCCATAGATTCAGGCAAAACATCAGGATAGAATGCTTCTGGAATATGGCCAGACAGCCCAGAAAACTCACAACAACCTAGTGATTCCTGCCATGAAAGCCTTTGACAAAATAATAATAATAATAATGTATTGTTGAAGGCTGATCAGTGACTGTTTGACTGGGTTGTTGTAGGTATTTTTTTGGGCTATATGGCCATGTTCTAGAGGCATTCTCTCCTGACGTTTCGCCTGCATCTATGGCAAGCATCCTCAGAGGTAGTGAGGTGCTACCTAACTACCTCTGAGGATGCTTGCCATAGATGCAGGTGAAATGTCAGGAGAGAATGCCTCTAGAACATGGCCAGATAGCCCGAAAAAACCTACAACAACCCAATAAACAAACAGGCACATAAAATCACTCTCAACAAGAGTTCCCCCCAGGCGCTTCCAGGCCATTGAATGCAAATCAAGGTGATTAGCTGAAACATTACCCTGGTCATTCCACAGATATATAAACCCATTTTCCTACTTCCAACAGATCTCACTACCTCTGAGGATGCTTGCCATAGATGCAGGCGAAACGTCAGGAGAAAATGCCTCCAGAACATGGCCATATAGCCCGGAAAAACCTACAACAACCCAATTTAGGTTATAATAATAATAATAATAATAATAATAATAATAATATATTATTATTATTATTAATAATAATAATAATAATAATAATAATAATAATAATAATAATAAATAATGTGTCGACGACATGAAAGCCTTTGACAAAATAATGATGATGATGATGATGATAATAATAATAATAATAATAATAATAATAAAAGTTGACGACAGATCCCAAATGTAGACTCTGCAAGGAAGCAGATGAAACAGTAGATCACATCTTCAGCTGCTGCAAGAAGATCATGCAGACCGACTACAAGCAGAGGCATAACACCGGTCCTCAGATGATTAATTGGAACTTGTATTAAAAAACTCAAAAATCATAACAGTAAATAAAGAACAACACTCAAAAATGGGAATTCCAGACAAGAAACAATAAGGGCCAACTAATCACCTCCCAACAAAGGATTCTCCAAGGGAGTAAGAAGCCAGACCTTGAAACTAGTTGCCTGCGACAAAGAACTGGTGGGATCACAAGCAGGAAAAAGTTACAGAGAATGAACACGTCAAACTCCTCTGGGACTTCCGGATTCAGACAGACAGACAGTTTTGGAGCATAATACTCTTGACCTCACAATAGTGTTAAAAAACAAAGTATGGATCGTTGATGTCGCAATCCCAGGTGATAACAGGATTGAAGAGAAACAACAGGAAAAGATGACACAATATGAGGATTTAAAAATCAAACTGCAAAAACTAGCACAAGCCAATCAAGGGAGTCCCAGTGATGATCGGCACACTGGGTGCAGTGCCTAAAGACCTTGGCCTGCTCTTAAACACAATCGGTGCTGACAAGATTACCATCTGCCAGCTGCAAAAGGCCACCTTACCGGGATCTGCACACATAATTCGCCAATACATCACACAGTCCTAGACACTTGGGAAGTGTCTGACGTGTGATCCAATACAACAGCCAGCAGAGTGTCTGCTGTGGACTCATCTTGTGGTGTTTCTAATAAATAATAATAATACAAACTCCCATGATTCTGTAGTACTGAGCTATAGCAGTTATTGTCAAACTGGAATGATGATGATGATGCAAACTCCTATGATTGTATAGCATTGAAGCATGAACTCTCATGATTATACAGCACTGAGCTACAGGAGTTAGTGTCAAAATGTAATAATAATAATAACAACAACAATAATAATAATAGTAATACAAGCTCCCCTGATATTATAGCACTGAGTTACGGCTTGGGAGTGATCCTGGATTCATCGTTGAGCCTGGAACCTCAAGTTTCAGCGGTGAGCAGGGGAGCATTGGCACAGTTAAAGCTTGTGCGCCAGCTGCGCCTGTACCTTGGGAAGTCTGACTTGGCCACTGTAGTCTATTCTCTGGTTACATCCTGTATAGACTACTGCAACACTCTCTATGTGGGGTTGCCTTTGAAGACGGTCCAGAAGCTTCAACTAGTCCAACGGTTGGCAGCCAGGTTGCTAACAGGAGCGGCACTCAGGGAGCATACAACCCCCTTGTTGCGCCAGCTCCACTGGCTGCCAGTTTGCTACCGGGCCCAATTCGAAGTGCTGGCTTTGGCCTATAAAGCCCTAAACGGTTCTGACCCAACTTACCTGTCCGAACGTGTCTCCCCTTACGAACCATCGAGGACTCTAAGATGGTCAGGGGAGGCCCTGCTCTCAGTCCCGCCTTAGTCTCAAGTAAGTTTGGCGGGGATGAGAGACAGGGCCTTCTCAGTGGTGACCCCTCGGCTATGGAACACCCTCCCTAGGGAGATTAGATCTGCTCCCTCCCTCTTAACGTTTCGGAGGCAAATTAAAACATGGCTGTTTGAGCAGGCGTTTACAAATGCAGAGTAGCTAATATAGGAAATCGAACGATTTGACATTGGAACCGGACAATGCTTGATAATGAGACGCTAATGATATTGTTTTTATTGCTTTTGTGGTGTCTTATATTGTTTAATGTTTTAATCTGTATTATGTTTTTATATGTACTGATTTGTTGGAAACCGCCTTGAGTCGCCGGTTGGCTGAGAAAGGCAGCATACAAATACAGTAAATAAATAAATAAACAAACAAACAAATAAATAAGACAGTTAGTGTCACACTAACAACAACACAAATTCCCATGATTCTATAGCACTGAGCTACGGTGCTGGGCCTGTAATAACAACAACAACAATTGTTAAAGGGCCTTCTTTTCTTTTTCAGCTTGGACCTTAGTTTGATTTGGATTAATTCTGACCATAATCCAAACTGAAATGAGCAAATCTACATGTTGGTGCATCCTCCTTGCAGACGTTTGGAAACTGAAACAGCCAAGCTTTTTTCTTTTGGATTCTCTTCCCCCGCCCCCACCCATATGATTGCATAGCATTTGGCAGCATAGTTGCCTTTTCAAGTTTGTTTAAATATACCCTGGTTTTCCCCCTTGTTGAGCGGTATCTGTGTACTGTATTAAAGTAGAGAAAGGTGAAAACATGGAACTGTTAACCACGAGAAAAAAAGCAAAGTAAACTAACTTGGTAAATCAATAACAGTGTTTGAAATCAGAATTAACCTTTAAAAACAGTGGGAAAATGGGAAATTCCCATTGCATAAGAAAACTATTTAGCAAATGTTGAGGTCAACGATGTACTTTGATACCACTTAATCAATGCTATGGGATTCTGGGAGTTGTAGTTTTGCAAGACCTGTGGCCTTCTCTGCCAAAAAGCACTGGAGACACATCAAACTACAACTCCCAGGAGTCCTCAGGTGGCCAGGATTTGTAGTTTTGGGAAGCAAAACTATGGAGATAAAAGGAAGATGATGTTGATGATGACAATGATGATAATATCTGTAGCAAGTCTTATTTCTAGAGGGATTATTTGGTTAGAAATCTGTGTCCTCCAGTGCATAATTATGGTCATCATCAGCTGGATATGATGATGGAATAGTGCTGGGAGACCCACCAATGCCTCCCTAGGAATCTCCCGGTCGTCCAGTGTGACCCTGTGTTTGGTCAGAACGAATACTACTAGGTCCACCTCTGGGTTGCCTTTGGTTGGAAACACCTTGAAGGCACCCAATGATCCTGGTGAATGTGATCAGTCCTGCAATGTTTTCGGGGAGCAGAGGGGTGTCCTGACGCTTTTGGGTGTCTTCTCTTCCTAGCTTTCGGAATCACGGAGATGGACCCAATCGAAGACTTTGACCTGGGGCCCATGCCAAGCTCCCCCCTGAGCCAGGACACCTTCCAAACGCTGTGGAGCAGCATCATGGTACTGGGTTTGAGTCACATCTCAGTTGGGATGGGGCAGAGAAAGGGAGAGGAGGAATAAAATAGATATATGTTTGATATGATATGAATGTTTGCCTTTGATATTGTGAACCACCCTGAGTCCCCATGGGGAGATAGGGCTGGATAGAAATAAAGTTTTACTTGCTCACTTACGATAGCGAGCGGGGGAGCCATATCTTGTTGTGGCTTGCAGCCCGAAATTTCATCCAAGATCAGGGATGGATGCTGTGTTTTAGGCAACTATGTTATTCCCCCACCCCTATTTTTTTATTTTAATTTTTTGTATTTATTTGTATTATTTATTCATTTATTCCTATTTATTTTTTAGTCATTTTGTGAATTAATTCATTTTTTATTTTCATGTATTATTTCCTCTTTTTATTATTATTTTGATCCGAATCTGCAACGCCCCATGGATTATTATTCGTTTTATTAATTCATTTATTATTTAATCAGTTTATTATCTTTACATGTTTGTATTTATATTTATATTCATATTTAGCAGTTTGTTTTATTAATTCATTATTGATATTTATTAGTTCATTTTATTTCCTGTATTATTTTCTTCACCAAACTTGTTTGATTATTTTATTGGTTATTTGTAATTATATTATTTTTGTTATTTTATTTATTATTACTTATTTCATTATTTTATTTATTATTATGTTTTATATATTATTGATTAATTTGCTCTTTATATTTATGTATTCATTACATATCTGTTCATTTATTATTTTAATTATTTTATTAGTTGATTGATTGTTTTTTTTCATTCTGTTACTTATGGCGGTGGGTTTAGATGTAGCATAATGGCACTCCATGTAGTCATGCTGGCCACATGAACTTGGAGGCGTCTACGGACAACACCGGTTCTTTGGCTTAGAAATGGAGACAAGCACCACCCCCTAGAGTTGGACATGGCTAGACTTAATGTCAAGGGGAAACCTTTACTGGGCTGTTGTAGTTTTTTTCAGGCTATATGGCCATGTTCTAGAGGCATTTTTTCCTGACGTTTCGCCTGCATCTATGGCAAGCATCCTCAGAGGTAGTGAGGTCTGTTGGAAGTAGGGAAATGGGTTTATTTATCTGTGGAATGACCAGGGTAGGACAAAGGACTCTTGTCTGCTGGAGCTAGATGTGAATGTTTCAACTGACCACCTTGATTAGCATTTGATGGCTTGGCAGTGCCTGGGGGAATCTTTTGTTGAGAGGTGATTAGATGTGCCTGATCATTCCACAGATATATAAACCCATTTTCCTACTTCCAACAGGAGAAAATGCCTCTAGAACATGGCCATATAGCCCAGAAAAACCTACAAAAACCCAGTGATGCTGGCCATGAAAGCCTTCGACAATACAGGAAACCTTTACCTTAGATATAGCATAGGGAGGGAGGGAGGGAGGAGAAAGTGAGGAAAGAAACGCAAGGTGATTCGAGGGGCTCATAAATACATTGAAGGATGGACGAGAAGGCACCTTTACACAGGTTGAAGATCGTTATCCGGGATTCCAAATTCTTCCAGTGCTAGGGAATCCTGGGATTCATAGCCTGCCAGCTCTTTTTGGCAAAGAAGGCTAAAGACCTTGTCAAACTACAGCTCCCAGGATTCTGTAGCATTGAGCCATAGCAGTTCAAGTGGTGCCAGACTACATTAATTCCACAGTTTGTGGATGTGGGTATATCTGTGCAATAGCATTATTATTATTATTCTGTTTGGGTCGCAAAGGGTGCCGTTAACGTTTTGCTCTTTCTCCGCAGGACGGAAAGGTGGAACCGTCCCTCTTGGATCCGAACCCACCGTGTCCCATGTCCTTTGAGGAAGGGACCAGCCCGCAGGTGGCAGAAGCGGACTACAACACCCTCGAACCCATTTCATCGGCGTTTGTCTCAGCACCCATCATTCCCTCCACCGAAGACTACGTTGGTGACCACGGCTTCGAGCTGGCCTTCGAGCAGTCGGGCACCGCCAAGTCCGTCACCTGCACCGTACGGAAATTTATTTGGGGATGTTTTGTGTGCATCTGCACCAGGAATAGGCAAATTTTAGCCCTCCAGGTGTTTTGGACTCCAACTCTACAATTCCTAACACCCGGTAGACCAGTGGTTCTCCACCTTCCTAATGCCGTGACCCCTTAATACAGTTCCTCATTTGTGGTGACCCCCAACCATAACATTATTTTTGTTGCTACTTCATAACTGCAGTTGTACTATTGTTATGAATTGTAATGTAAATATCCGATATTCAGGATGTATTTTCATTCACTGGACCAAATTTGGCACCAATACCCAATATGCCCAAATTTGAATACTGGTGGGGTTGGGGGGGGATTGATTTTGTCATTTGGGAATTGCAGTTGATGCGATTTATAGTTCAGTTCCAATCAAAGAGCATTCTGAATTCCACCAGCAATTGAATTAAACCAAACTTGGCACACAGAACTCCCACGACCAACAGAAAATACTGGAAGGGTTTGGTAGGCATTGATCTTGAATTTTGGAGTTGTAGTTCACCTACACCCAGAGAGCACTGTGGACTCAAACAATGATGGATCTGAACCAAACTTGGCATGAATATTCAATATGCCCAAATGTGAACACTGGTAGAATTTGAGGAAAATAGACCTTGACATTTGGGAGTTGTAGTTGCTGGGATTTATAGTTCACCTACAGTCAAAGAATATTCTGATAGAATTGGGACAAACTTCCCACACAGAACCCCCATGACCAACAGAAAATACCTAAGGCCATCCAGTCCAACTACCTTCACCAGGGCAAGAAAATATAACCAAAGCTCTCCTGACAAAGAGCCATCTGGCCAGAGATATAGATATATATGATTCACACACACAGAGATATAGCATCATAGATTTGAAAGGGACCCCTAAAGAAGGACAATGATATGTTGCGTGTTCCAGAGTAGGCAAACCAGACAATCTCCACATGAACACTGACAAAGATACAGCAAGAAACACTGTTTAGCAACAAGCAGAAAGAAATTACATAAATTAGAATCCAACATTTTCTCATTACTTTATTTTCCAGATCGCCAGACTGGGCCACAGCAATGCGTGGCAGGGGACGGCTAGTAGTAGTAATAATAATATATAATACATCACACAGTCCTAAACTAAATGCTTGGGAAATGTTTGACTTCTTATTTTGTGATACAAAATCCAGCATTTATATTTTGTTTGCTGTGTCGCTGTGTTTTTGTGTCAGAATAATAATAATAATAATAATAATAATAATAATAATAATCAGGAAAATTACACTATGTAACAAATGTTGAAAAAAGTTCTGTTCCTGGTTTGAAAGAGTTATTTCCTATATATTGGTGCTGTTCTTACTTTGAAGGTAGTTGTTCTACTCCAGAAACATCTTTTTTGTGGCTGCCACATTGCGATTGGGTTGAGATTCAATCACAGATTCATTGAAAAACTAGAGCAACATGTGCTATAGCAGGATGTCCTGAGAACAAGCCACGAGAGTAAAGACGAAGATCCACCCAGAGGAAAAGTGTTCTTGCCATACATCAAGGGAACCACTGACCGCATAGGGAAGCTGATGAGGAAACACAACATATAAGGGGTATTTTTAAGTAAGGTCCGTTGCAACACAAGTACACAATGAAAGTTTATTTCAAAAAAGTAAATTTATTTTCAGAAAGTACCTACTTCACTCTATTTTTCGACATAGTTGCCAAGTTTGTTCAAACACTTATCATACCTCTGAACCAATTTTAAAATACCCTCTTCATAAAAACTTGCCGCCTGCTCTGATAACCAAGAGTTCACTGCCATTTTCACGTCGTCGTCATCATGGACGTTGTCACGGCCATCTTTGAATTGTCGTACCCACTTTCGCACTTTGCTTTCACTCATAACAGTATCACCTCACATGCGGCGGATGAGTTGATAGTCTTAAACATTTTTAAGAACAGAACCATACAGGTTAGCTACAGAGCGGAAACTGAGCACAGTTGTTCCCGAGGCATGCCGGTACACGACGCATGCGCTCGTTGCGGTATGCGCGCGAACTACTAGTGTCTACAACAACACGGACCTTACTTAAAAAATACCCCTCGTACAAACTATCTACAGACCCACCAAGAAAATCCAACAAATGCTACATTCAGCAAAGGACAAAAGGGATCCTCTCACTTCTGCAGGAGTCTACTGTGTACCATGCAGCTGTGGTAGGGACCACCAAACGCAGCATTGCCCAAACAAATCAAGGAACATGAAAGGCATTGCAGACTACTTCAGCCAGAGAAGTCAGCCATAGCAGAGCACCTGGTGAACCAAGCTGGACACAGCATATTATTTGAGAACACAGAAATGCTGGACCACTCTTAAAAACCACCATGTCAAGCTACACAGAGAAGCCATTGAAATCCATAAGCATGTGGACAATTTCAACAGAAAGGAGGAAACCATGAAAATGAACAAAATCTGGCTACCAATATTAAAAAACTCTAAAATTACAAGAGCAAAACAACAGAGAGGAAACAACCTGGGACATCTAATCACCTCTCAACAAAAGATTGCCCCAGGCACTGCCAAGCCATCAAATGCTAATCAAGGTGGTCAGTTGAAACATTCACAGCTAGCCCCAGCAGACAGGGGTCCTGTGTCTCACCCTGGTCATTCCATAGATATATAAACCCATTTTTCCTAGTTCCAACAGACCTCACTACCTCTGAGAATGCTTGCCATAGATGCAGGCGAAAGAATGCTTGCCATAGATGCAATCCAAAGTTTTTGCAGTTTAATAAACTTTCCCCATGAAATGACATTTATAACCCAGGAACAAAAATCATGTTACATAGTGCTATTATTATTATTATTATTAATAATAATCTTTATTTTATTAGTGTTCAACCATTCATAGAATCCCACAGCCATTTTGCAATCTGTTGAGGCTGAAAAAAGGAGCGCATTTCTCCCAATTTCTGGATAGTTTGGCCTTATTTGAAAATAAATCCTTCCTGACTTACCTTAGATGCTGTGTTTATCAGTGTTGCAATTGCAATTAACGGCTCCAATATTGGCATTGCTATTGCTGTAATTGATGTCAAGTATTGGCCTTACGACTGTTGCCATTGGTTCCAAAATCAGCACCATGATGGCTGTTGTCGTCTCCAACATTGGCATTTTGATTGCCGCCATCGGTTCTAATTTGGTGTGTCTCCCCAAGAGTTACGTCTCCGTCTTCTCCTCTTTTATAAAGTGCTCCGAAATTTGAACTTGCCGCTATTTAAGGCTGAGATAATGAGTTTGAAATATGATCACCCCCCTTTCTTCCACCTCTCCCCCCAAATGTGCTTCCCACCTTTCGGGAAAAACTCAAGACAAGTCTGGACTTGCCGCCTCTGTGTTGTTGCGCTCTCCGTCTTAGTGGCGCATGGAAGTAAAGGCAAACCTTTTGGGGTGGAGCGGCCTCTGATTTGATTAGAGAAATGATTCTAGAATGAAACCTTGCAAAGTTAGTTGCTGTGGCAAATGTGATAGTGACATGAGATCTGGGTTTGGGTTTGACATCTTAAGGACCTTACAAGAAAGCTAAGCCCTTCTTTTGTGTTTCTTTTTTGCTCCCTCTTTCCTGTCCCCCACCCCCCCAAAACGCAGTATTCGCCTAAATTGAACAAGCTTTTCTGCCAGCTGGCCAAGACCTGCCCCGTCCACATCAAAGTTTCCAACTTGCCCCCGTTCGGCGCTGTCATCCGCGCCATGGCCGTCTACAAGAAGTCCGAACACGTGGCCGAAGTGGTGAAACGGTGCCCCCACCACGAGCGCAACCAGGATTACAACGACAGTGAGTTCATGGAATCCCAGTCTGGGAAGGTGGCACCCAAAGACCATCCCGTCCAACTCTCTTCTCTCAGGCCAGTGGTTCTCAACCTGTGGGTCCCTAGGTGTTTTGACCTACAACTCCCAGAAATCCCAGCCGGTTTACCAGCTGTTAGGATTTCTGGGAGTTGAAGACCAAAACATCTGGGGACCCACAGGTTGAGAACCACTGTCCCATGCAGTAAGACATCGTCCAAGTCCTGGTAATGGGAGAACAGCTGGAGAGCGGGTCAGGGGGGTATCCTCCAGAAAACTCCCAGCAATATGTCCCTAAATGCACTTTGTTAGTGATCTAGGATTCTCTGCACATTTCATCCCTCCCTAAATTTTCTTTCCTAGTTATACGTCACTTGGTCATGCCCAGCATTATTTTTAAATTTTAATTATTACATTTGGCCCAGCCATAGGTTTTAAACATTGTCGTGTTATTGTTAATGTTTATTGCTTATTTTCTGCTTATGAGTTTTATTTATTGTTTTGTATTACTGTTGCTATTGTTTTTATTGTTGTATTGTGGGCTTGGCCTCATGTAAGCCGCACCGAGTCCCTTGGGGAGATGGTAGCGGGGTACAAATAAAGATTATTATTATTATTATTATTATTATTATTATTATTAAAAAGGAACTTTTTGTATCTTATGGAATTGTAGAGATGGGTAAGATGCCAAGGGTCATCAAGTCTAACCCAAATAGATAGATAGATCCTAGTGCTGGAAGAGACCCTAAAGGGACATCCAGTCTGACCCTCTTCTGCCAGGCATAAAGACACTGTCCAAGCCCTGCCAACAGTCACACATGCAACTGGAGAGGGAGTTGGTGAGGTATCCTCCAGAAAAAAGAATATTTTTCGTAGCTCATAGAATCATAGAGCTGGGTGAGACCCCAAGGATCACCCAGTCCAGATAGACAGAGACAGGGAAGGATGGAAAGGTAGATGGGTGGGTAGATAGATATAAACAGAAATAGGGAAGGATCTGTAAATCCAGCAAAAGGGAGGGGGGGGGGGAGAGAGACATAGGTGTAAAGATAGAAAAGAATGGATGGATAGAGAGATAGAAATAGATACAGGGATGGATGGATGGATGGATGGATGGATGGATGGATGGATAGATAGATAGATAGATAGATAGATAGATAGATAGATAGATAGATAGATAGATTTAGATATTGATTAGATTAGATTGATTAGATTGATTAGATAGATTGATTAGATAGATAGATAGATAGATAGATAGATAGATAGATAGATAGATAAAGACAGAGAAGGATGGATGGATGGATAGAGAGATAAGGAAGGATCTGTAAATCCAGTACTAGGGAGGGATGAGACAGACACACATAAATGTAAAGATAGGAAAGAATGGATGGAGATCAAAATAGATACAGGGAAGGATGGGTAAGTGGATGGATGGATGGACAGAAATAAGGAAGGATGGATGGATAGGTAGATATAAACAGAGATAGGGAAGGATCTGTAAATCCAGCAATAGGGAGGGATGCTAGATATATGAAGACTGCTTGGAAGCTTCAGATAGTCCAACGTGAGGCAGCCAGGTTAATAACTGGGGCGGCATACAGGGAGCATACAACTCCCATGTTACGCCAACTCCACTGGCTGCCAGTTTGCTACCGGGCACAATTCAAAGTGCTGGCTTTGGCCTATAAAGCCCTAAACCCGGCCCAAATTACCTGTCTGAACGCATCTCCCCCTATATACCATCGCGGAGATTAAGATCCTCTGGGGAGGCCCTGCTTTCCATCCTGCCATTGTCACAGACACGATTGGTGGGGATGAGAGACAGGGCCTTCTCGGTGATTTCTCCCCGGCTATGGAACTCCCTTCCTGGTGAGATCAAGCCGGCTCCCTCCTGTCCTTTAGAAGGATGGCAAAAACTTGGCTGTGGGACCAAGCTTTCGGGACAGGGCAATAAAGCGGCAGTGGGAAAGATGACAGGGCCAATTAGATTTGACGCGGATGACTAGGATGGTTCTAAATGGTGTATTTTAATATTTTGATAAATGTTTTTTTAATGTTTATGTATGGGTATGTGAATTTGTGTCCCAGCATTGAATGTTTGCCATGTATATGCTGCGCTCCGCCCTGAGTCCCCTTCGGGGTGAGAAGGGCGGAATATAAATGTTTTAAATAAATAATAGATAGATAGATAGATAGATAGATAGATAGATAGATAGATAGAGATAGACATAACGATAAAGATAAATATAGGGAAGAATCGATGGACAGAGAGATCATAGAATCATAGAATCCTAGAGTTGGAAGAGACCTCATGGGCCATCCAGTCCAACCCCATTCTGCCAAGAAGCAGGAATATTGCATTCAAATCACCCCTGACAGATGGCCATCCAGCCTCTGTTTAAAAGCTTCCAAAGAAGGAGCCTCCACCACACTCCGGGGCAGAGAGTTCCACTGCTGAACGGCTCTCACAGTCAGGAAGTTCTTCCTCATGTTCAGATGGAATCTCCTGTCTTGTAGTTTGAAGCCATTGTTCTGCGTCCTAGTCTCCAGGGAAGCAGAAAACAAGCTTGCTCCCTCCTCCCTGTGGCTTCCTCTCACATATTTATACATGGCTATCATATCTCCTCTCAGCCTTCTCTTCTTCAGGCTAAACATGCCCAGCTCCTTAAGTCGCTCCTCATAGGGCTTGTTCTCCAGACCTTTTATCATTTGAGTCGCCCTCCTCTGGACACATTCCAGCTTAGAGTCAACATCTCCCTTCAACTGTGGTGCCCAGAATTGGACACAATATTCCAGGTGTGGTCCAACCAAAGCGGAATAGAGCATGGGGAGCATTACTTCCCTAGATCTAGACACTATGCTCCTATTGATGCAGGCCAAAATCCCATTGGGTTTTTTTTGTCGCCACATCACATTCCTGGCTCATGTTTAACTTGTTGTCCATGAGGACTCCAAGATCTCTTTCACACGTACTGCTCTCGAGCCAAGCATTGTCCCCAGGAATTGTCTCGAGCCAGGAATTGTCTCCTAGGAAGGGAAGTTCACTCCTGGAAGAATTACTATTTCCAGACGTGACCCACGTGCCTGACTTTTCTCTCTCCTCCCTGGTTTGTGTCTCCCGGCAGGCAGCGCGCCACCGCAGCACCTCATCAGGGTGGAGGCTAATCAGCTGGCCCAATATATTGACGACCCAAACACCAAGCGGCACAGTGTCGTCGTGCCGTATGAAAAAGCACAGGTTATCGGGGATTGGTCGGGGAGAGAGGGGCCTGCCAAGGATGGAACAAATGTTAATGTTTTTTTGCTGTTAAATATGCAAGAGCATATTTGTTGTTGTTTGTTGTTGGGCGAGTGAGCTTATTTACAAAAGGCCCTCCTCAGAAATGCACAGCAGAGTAACTTATTAGCAGCAGCGTGACCCAGCACCAGGAGCCCAAAGTGATTAAAAAAGAGCGAAAACACACAGTCCAATGTAATTTCTTCCATAGGAGGCTTTCCTTTGTAGTAAAATAATATGGTTCCACTATTTACAAGAACTAGGCTTCCGTAACACAAATGAACAAGCACATAGTAGCCTTCACACTGGAGTTTTCTCACATGAGGCTTCTCTCACACTGAGATTTACCTCACACTCCTCAGGACGACACTAGCTTTGGCCCACTAACTCTTAACGGGCTTCAGTCTACTCACTCTCCTTAGTACAACACTACCTTCGCCAACTCACTTTCCTCAGGACAACACTAGCTTTGGCCCACTGACTCTGACAGGCTTTGGCCTACACACTCTCCTCAGGACGGCACTAGCTTTGGCCCACTAACTCTTAACGGGCTTCAGTCTACTCACTCTCCTGAGGATAACACTACCTTCGCCAACTCACTTTCTCAGGACAACACTATCTTTGGCCCACTGACTCTAAACAGGCTTCAGCCTACTCACTCTCCTCAGGATGACTCTAGCTTTGGCCTACTGACTCTAAACAGGCTTCGGCCTACTCACTCTCCTCAGGATGACACTAGCTTTGGTCCACTGACTGTTAACAGGCTTCGGCCTACTCACTCTCCTCAGGATGACAGTAGCTTCGGCCCACTGACTCTAACAGGCTTCGGCTTACCCACGCTCCTCAGGACAACACTAGATTTGGCCCACTGACTCTTAACAGGCTTTGGCCTACACATTCTCCTCAGGACAACACTAGCTTTGGCCCACTGACTTTAACAGGCTTCGGCCTACTCACTCTCCTCAAGACAACACTAACTTCGGCCCATTGACTCTTAACAGGCTTCGGGCTACTCACTCTCCTCAAGACGACACTAACTTCGGCCTATTGACTCTTAACAGGCTTTGGCCTACTCACTCTCCTCAGGATGACACTAGCTTTGGCCCACTGACTCTGACAGGCTTCGCCTACTCACTCTCCACAGGACAACACTAGTTTTGGCCCACTGACTCTTAACAGGCTTCGGCCTACTCACTCTCCTCAGGACGACACTAGCTTTGGCCCACTGACTCTTAACAGGCTTTGGCCTACCCACGCTCCTCAGGATGACACTAGCTTTGGCCCACTGACTCTTAACAGGCTTTAGCCTACTCACTCTCCTCAGGACGACACTAGCTTTGGCCCACTGACTCTAAAAGGCTTCGGCTTACCCACGCTCCTCAGGACAACACTAGATTTGGCCCACTGACTCTTAACAGGCTTTGGCCTACACATTCTCCTCAGGACAACACTAGCTTTGGCCCACTGACTTTAACAGGCTTCGGCCTACTCACTCTCCTCAGGACGACACTAGCCTTTGCCCGCTGACTCTAACAGGCTTCGGGCTACTCACTCTCCTCAAGACGACACTAACTTCGGCCTATTGACTCTTAACAGGCTTTGGCCTACTCACTCTCCTCAGGATGACACTAGCTTTGGCCCACTGACTCTGACAGGCTTCGCCTACTCACTCTCCACAGGACAACACTAGTTTTGGCCCACTGACTCTTAACAGGCTTCGGCCTACTCACTCTCCTCAGGACGACACTGAGCTTTGGCCCACTGACTCTTAACAGGCTTTGGCCTACCCACGCTCCTCAGGATGACACTAGCTTTGGCCCACTGACTCTTAACAGGCTTTAGCCTACTCACTCTCCTCAGGACGACACTAGCTTTGGCCCACTGACTCTAAAAGGCTTCGGCTTACCCACGCTCCTCAGGACAACACTAGATTTGGCCCACTGACTCTTAACAGGCTTTGGCCTACACATTCTCCTCAGGACAACACTAGCTTTGGCCCACTGACTTTAACAGGCTTCGGCCTACTCACTCTCCACAGGACGACACCGAACTTTGGCCCACTGATTCTAACAGGCGTCGACCTACCCATGATCCTCAGGACGACACTAGTTTTGGCCCACTGACTCTTTACAGGCTTCGGCCTACTCACTCTCCTCAGGACGGCATTAGCTTTGGCCCACTGACTCTGACAGGCTTACAAATACAAAACAGACAATGACATCAAATAAAAATAAAAGATCTGTTATGTATTTTGTGCATTGGCATCATCTTGGTTCCTAACAGTTCAAAGAGATAACCAAGTATATCAGTCTAACAGCCGAGAAGCCTAAATTGCCTTGTGTGAATACAAATGGATATTTACCACTAAGGAGAAAATTAACTCAAGTGGGTTTTCAACTCTTCTCAGGAAGACCATACTTTACGAAGGGTTATGATCTTTAAACAAGGTCATGCTTTCCAAAAGGTTATGATTATTCCAAATAGTGTGAATACCAATTACCGTATATACTCGAGGATAAGCCGGCCCGAATATAAACCGAGGCAGCTAATTTTACCACCAAAAAATGGGAAAACTTATTGACTCGAATATAAGTCGAGGGTGGGAAATGCAGCAACTATTGGTAATACAAAATAAATATAGATGCCAATAAAATTACATTAATTGAGGAAACAGTAGGTTAAATGTTTTTCAATGTTTACATAAAACTGTAATTTAAAATAAGACTGACCAACTTTGATTAAACCATTATTCTAACCTTTTTCAGTGTCAATGTGCTTACGTATCCTTCCAATAATAAGAAAGAAAGTAAAATAAAAAATGTAATAACAACAATACAGTAAAATAATAAATGTAATAATAATAATAATAATAATAAACAGAGTTAAATGAGTGTAATAAAATAATAACAGAGTAAAATAATGCAAATGTAATAATACCAATAATAGAGGAAAATAATAAATGTAATAACAATAATAGTAAAGTAAAATAACAAATGTAATAGTAATAATAATAAATAGAGTAAAATAAATGTAATAAAATAATAATAGGGTAAAATAATGCAAATGTAATAATACCAATAATAGAGGAAAATAATACATAATAATAATATTAAAGTAAAATAATAAATGCAATAGTAATAATAAATAGAGTAAAATAAATGTAATAAAATAATAATAGAGTAAAATAATGCAAATGTAATAATGCCAATAATAGAGGAAAATAATAAATGTAATAACAATAATACTAAAGTAAAATAATAAATGTAATAATAATAAATAGAGTAAAAGAAATGTAATAAAATAATAATAGAGTAAAATAATGCAAATGTAATAATTCCAATAATAGAGGAAAATAATAAATGTAATAAAAATAATAGTAATAACAGAGTAAAATAATAAATAACTTTGATTCGAGTATAAGCCGAGGGCAGCTTTTTCAGCCTAAAAAGGGGGCTGAAAAGCTAGGCTTATACTCGAATATATACAGTAATCTCCAAAAGGGTCACACTTCCAAAAGGCTTTGGAAATTCATGCTTTTCCCTAATAGTTGTTCTATTTGAGGAACTTTGTTGTTGTGGTTGAATTGGTTCAGATATTCATTGTAAAATTTGATCAAAATGTGCTACAAGATATCCCTCCCACAAAGTTTTTGCAGTTTAATAAACTTTCCCCATGTTTTTATGATTTATTTATTTGTCGTGTCAGGGCAACCAGTCAATTGTATTACATTTCTAACAGAACAAAACAAACAAACAAACAAACAAACAAAATACAAAATTTGTGAGTTTGGTAGTTGATTAAATGTCCTTTGACCAGTATCTGGCCACTTGGAGTGCTTCTGGTGTTGCTGCAAGGAGGTCCTCCATTGTGCATGTGGCAGGGCTCAGGGTGCGTCGCAGCAGGTGGTCAGTGGTTTACTCTTCTCTGCACTCGCATGTCGAGGATTCCACTTTGTGGCCCCATTTCTGAAGGTTGGCTCTGCATCTCGTGGTGCCAGAGCGCAGTCTGTTCAGCGCCTTCCAAGTCGTCCAGTCTTCTGTCTGCCCAGGGGGGAGTCTCTCATTTGGTATCAACCACTGATTGAGGTTCTGGGTTTGAGCCTGCCACTTTTGGACTCTCGCTTGCTGAGGTGTTCCAGCGAGTGTCTCTGTAGATCTTCGAAAACTATTTCCTGATTTAAGTTGTTGACGTGTTGGTTGATACCCAAACAGGGGATGAACTGGAGATGTCACTGCCTTGGTCCTTTCACAATTGCTGCTGCTTCCCAGCGGATGTCAGGCGGTGCAATACCGGCTAAGCACTGTAACTTCTCCAGTAGTGTAGGGCGCAGACACCCCGTGATAATGCGGCATGTCTCATTAAGAGCCACATCCACTGTTTTAGTGTGGTGAGATGTGTTCCACACTGGGCATGCGTACTCAGCAGCAGAGTAGCACAGTGCAAGGGCAGATGTCTTCACTGTGTCTGGTTGTGATCCCCAGGTTGTGCCAGTCAGCTTTCGTATGATATTGTTTCTAGCGCCCACTTTTTGCTTGATGTTCAGGCCGTGCTTCTTGTAGGTAAGAGCACGGTCCAGAGTGACTCCTCCCAGGTATTTGGGTGCGTTGCAATGCTCCAGTTTTTATGATAGAACCAATTAAGACCTTGGGTTTAGAACCTAGGAACAAAAAATCATGTTCCATAGTGTTGTCAATTTCGGGTAACGGTGCTGTTGTCTCTCCATTCCTTTCTAGGTGGGTGCCGACAGCACTACGCTGTTGTTAAATTTTATGTGCAACAGTTCTTGCATGGGAGGCATGAACCGGCGTGCCATTTTGGCCATCATCACTTTGGAGACTCTGCAGTGAGTGGCTTCCCTTCCCGGGAGTCCTTTGGCTTCCAATACCCTTCTAAGGCTCTGTCTACATTTTAAAGAATTAATACAGTTTGAGACCACTTTAACTGCTGTGGCTCAATGCTATGGAATCCTGGGGGTTGTAATTTTATAGGGAAAGGATTAAGGATTTTGTAAAACTGCAGCTCTTCCCTTTTCCTGCCTCCGTCTTTTGCAGAGGTGACCTCCTCGGACGCCGCTGCTTTGAAGTCCGGGTTTGCGCTTGTCCCGGAAGAGACAGGAAGTCGGAGGAAGAGAACGCGGAGAAAGCTACCATCCCTAAAATGAAATCTAAGAAGGGTAAATAGGGGAAATGGGATTTTGGGGGAGATGGGTGGATGGGGAAGCATTGGGTGCATCTACACCAAATATTTGCAGACTTGGCCCCTCCAGGTGTTTTGGACTCCAACTCCCACCATTCCTAACAGCCTCAGGCCCTTTCCTTTCCCCCTTCAGCGCTTAAGCGGCTGAGGGGGAAAAGGAAAGGGCCTGAGGCTGTTAGGAATGGTGGGAGTTGGAATCCAAAACACCTGGAGGGGCCAAGTCTGCAAATGCCTGTTCTAAACAGTAGAGGAAAGCATGTTCCCAAATATCAGACTTTATTAATGTCTATCTCCTTGTTTTTATTTCAGTTGTTGTTCCAGCTCCTCCTCGGAGCAGCTCTTCCGAAAGCGCCAAGAGGTCGGCTGCGGGGTCTTCCAACAACGAGTCCGAAAGCGGACCCTATATCCTCCAGGTGAGTGGCCCTTTTGGGGGGCTCTGTTGGATGAAATGCTTTGGGGTGCATCTATACCAGAGCTTTCCAAACTTTCCGCATTTGAGACACGCATCATTTCGCGACACAGTAGTTTGTTTTTACTAGCAAAACAGAGGTTGAACCAAGAGTTCCATGCAATATATATGTATTATATATACTAGCTGTTGCCTGCCACGTGTTGCTGTGGCCCAGTCTGGTGATCCAGAAAATAAAGTAATGAGAAAGTGTTGGTTTCTAATATATGTAATTTCTTTATACTTGTGGGTAAACAGTATTTCTTGCTGTTTCTTTGTCAGTGTTGATGTGGAGATGGCTTGGTTTGCCCACTCTGGAACATGCAACATATTATTATCCTTCTTTAGGGGTCCTTTTCAAACCTATGATACTATATCTCTGTGTGTGTGTGAATCATGTCTATCTATATCTATGGCTGGATGGCTCTTTGTCAGAAGGGTTTTGATTACGTTTTCTTGCCGTGGTGAAGGGAGTTGGACTCGATGGCCTTCAGTATTTTCTGTTGGTCATGGGGGTTCTGTGTGGGAAGTTTCCCCCAATTCTGTTGTTAGCGGGGTTCAGAATGCTCTTAGATTGTAGGTGAACTATAAATCCCAGTAACTACAACTCCGAAATATCAAGGTCTATTTCCCCCAAACTCCATCTGTGTTCATATTTGGGCATATGGAATATTTGTGCCAAGTTTGGTCCAGATCCATCATTATTTGAGTCCACAGTGCTATCTGAATGTAGGTGAACCACAATTCCCAAACTCAAGGTCAATGCCCATCTTAGTCATGAGAATCCTGTTTGGTTCAATTCCATCATTGGTGGAGTTCAGAATGCTCTTTGATTGTAAGTAAACTATAAATCCAAGCAACTACAACTCCCAAATGACAAAATAAATTTTTTTGAGTGAAGGACATACATTGGGTTGTTAGGTGTCTTGTCTCCAAATTTGATGTCAATTCGCCCAGTGGTTTTTGAGTTCTGTTAATCCCACAAACGAACATTACATTTTTATTTATATAGTTACATATGATATGTATTATATTATGTATCATAAATATTTTATACCATAAAGACTATATGAAACTGGTATATTATATAAGTTTCATATAATCTTTATTGTATAAATGATGTTTGGACATTTTCTTTTTATACGTCTTATCTCCCACAGTTGATTGTTATTTCATATATATATCTATACACTAGGCTTGTTTGATCCAAAAAAAAGGTTCAAAACTCATTTCGGATGTAGGTGGTTCGATTCTAAAGTCAATTCTGATTTTCACAGAAAAACATGTTCAAAACTTTTCGAAACTTCTTGGACTTCTGAATTCTTTTGTTAATGGATTAAGCAAGAGGAGTAAATTCTTTTCTTCTCTGGTTTAAAACTGGCTTCTCTGGCTTGAACGAGGCCAGGACCAGAAGCAGGGGAAAGCAAATGGAGTAAATTCTTTCTTCTCTGGTTTAAAACTGGCTTCTCTGGCTTGAACGAGGCCAGGGACCAGAAGTGGGGAAAAGCAAGAGGAGTAAATTCTTTTCTTCTCTGGTTTAAAACTGGCTTCTCTGGCTTGAACGAGGCCAGGGACTAGAAGCGGGGAAAGGCAAGAGGAGTAAATTCTTTTCTTCTCTGGTTTAAAACTGGCTTCTCTGGCTTGAACGAGGCCAGGGACCAGAAGTGGGGAAAAGCAAGAGGAGTAAATTCTTTTCTTCTCTGGTTTAAAACTAGCTTCTCTGGCTTGAGCGAGACCAGGGACTAGAAGCGGGGAAAGGCAAGTGGAGTAAATTCTTTTCTTCTCTGGTTTAAAACTGGCTTCTCTGGCTTGAGCGAGACCAGGGACAGAAGTGGGGAAAAGCAAGTGGAGTAAATTCTTTTCTTCTCTGGTTTAAAACTAGCTTCTCTGGCTTGAGCGAGACCAGGGACTAGAAGCGGGGAAAGGCAAGTGGAGTAAATTCTTTTCTTCTCTGGTTTAAAACTGGCTTCTCTGGCTTGAACGAGGCCAGGGACCAGAAGTGGGGAAAAGCAAGAGGAGTAAATTCTTTTCTTCTCTGGTTTAAAACTGGCTTCTCTGGCTTGAACGAGGCCAGGGACCAGAAGTGGGGAAAAGCAAGAGGAGTAAATTCTTTTCTTCTCTGGTTTAAAACTAGCTTCTCTGGCTTGAGCGAGACCAGGGACTAGAAGCGGGGAAAGGCAAGTGGAGTAAATTCTTTTCTTCTCTGGTTTAAAACTGGCTTCTCTGGCTTGAACGAGGCCAGGGACCAGAAGTGGGGAAAAGCAAGTGGAGTAAATTCTTTTCTTCTCTGGTTTAAAACTGGCTTCTCTGGCTTGAACGAGGCCAGGGACCAGAAGTGGGGAAAAGGCAAGTGGAGTAAATTCTTTTCTTCTCTGGTTTAAAACTGGCTTCTCTGGCTTGAACGAGGCCAGGGACCAGAAGTGGGGAAAAGCAAGAGGAGTAAATTCTTTTCTTCTCTGGTTTAAAACTGGCTTCTCTGGCTTGAACGAGGCCAGGGACCAGAAGTGGGGAAAAGCAAGAGGAGTAAATTCTTTTCTTCTCTGGTTTAAAACTAGCTTCTCTGGCTTGAGCGAGGCCAGGGACTAGAAGCGGGGAAAGGCAAGTGGAATAAATTCTTTTCTTCTCTGGTTTAAAACTGGCTTCTCTGGCTTGAACGAGGCCAGGGACCAGAAGTGGGGAAAAGCAAGAGGAGTAAATTTTTTTCTTCTCGGGTTTAAAACTAGCTTCTCTGGCTTGAGCGAGACCAGGGACTAGAAGCGGGGAAAGGCAAGTGGAGTAAATTCTTGTCTTCTCTGGTTTAAAACTGGCTTCTCTGGCTTGAGCGAGGCCAGGGACTAGAAGCGGGGAAAGCAAGAGGAGTAAATTCTTTTCTTCTCTGGTTTAAAACTGGCTTCTCTGGCTTGAACGAGGCCAGGGACCAGAAGTGGGGAAAAGCAAGTGGAGTAAATTCTTTTCTTCTCTGGTTTAAAACTAGCTTCTCTGGCTTGAGCGAGGCCAGGGACTAGAAGCGGGGAAAGGCAAGTGGAGTAAATTCTTTTCTTCTCTGGTTTAAAACTGGCTTCTCTGGCTTGAACGAGGCCAGGGACCAGAAGTGGGGAAAAGCAAGAGGAGTAAATTTTTTTCTTCTCGGGTTTAAAACTAGCTTCTCTGGCTTGAGCGAGACCAGGGACTAGAAGCGGGGAAAGGCAAGTGGAGTAAATTCTTGTCTTCTCTGGTTTAAAACTGGCTTCTCTGGCTTGAGCGAGGCCAGGGACTAGAAGCGGGGAAAGGCAAGTGGAGTAAATTCTTGTCTTCTCTGGTTTAAAACTGGCTTCTCTGGCTTGAGCGAGGCCAGGGATCAGAATCAGGGAAAAGCAAGTGGAGTAAATTCTTGTCTTCTCTGGTTTGAGTGAGGCCAGGGACCAGAAGCAGGGAAAAGCTGAATAATTTCCGACTCACTTCATGAGTCGTAACAAAAATGGAGGAAAAAGCTTCAGAAGGGCAAAGGGATTTCCGGAGTTCTTAAAAACTTCAAAATCGAAAAGGTAATTTTTCCGAATTACGAAGATTCCGACGGTACCTAACCATGCCTACTATACACACATACATACATCTACATATTATATAACATATAAATTTCATATAATCTTTACTGCAAGTATGGTTGCATGCTGTAAGTTGCGTCTGGTGTGCGAATCAGACCACCTACTACAATGCAACTTGAGCCCTACCACATGCACAATGGAGGACTTTCTTGCAGCCACACCAGAGGCACTCCAAGTGGCCGGCTTCTGGTCAAAGGACATTTAGTACAATAGCAAGTTTTTAACTTTGTTTGTGGTTTTAAATGCATTATAATTGTATTCTGAATTCGCGTCTGACACAATAAATAGGGGACATGGGATTTTGGGGAGGATGGGTGAATGGGTAATGCATAAATGAGGTTTGAACATTTCCCATTTATGCTGCTTACGTTCTACATTCCTTTCTTGACTAATTTCCTCTCTTCATCGCAAACATCAATGTCAACAATTTTATTTTCTTAATTAGAAACTTATCCATTTTAGTGCTAATTTATGCAACTCAATTAAGAAATTGTGCAAATTATAACAGTTATAGCAACACCTACACTTAACAGCACCAGCACTCCATTTCTGTAGGGATTAAACCCCCATGGATGTTGTTAAATGGAAGCTGGATGGCCATCCACTGGAAGGGCTTTGACTGTGCATGCCTGCTTAGCTGATGGGGGTTGGACTAGATGCCCTTTGTGGATCCCTTCAAACTCTAGTGAAGTATAGACTGCTTGGGAGTGTGGGCGAATCTCCTTCTCTAGAGTTTTTTGAACTCAGTCAGGATGGCCATCTGTCAGGAGGGCTTTGAATGTGTCTCCACCCCCAAATTAATTGAATCGTCTCTTCTGGGTCTAGATCCGTGATCGGAAACACTACCGGATGCTGAAGGTAATCCTGGAAGCGCTTGAACTTCGAGAGGAGAAGCTGCAAGGAGAGGAGGAGGAGGCGGAGCCAGAGATTCACCGGTGAGTAAGCCCCGCCTCCTTGGGATGACTTAATGAAGCTCCTCCCCACAGGTCAATTAAGGACAAGGACCAGTTTGGGCTGGAAGGACAACTGTCATGTCCACAATGCCGCCTTGAAGATGGCCAAAGATATAGCAAAGAGCGAAGACAGAAGGGAGCAGAAGACACTTCCATCTTGTCTTTACTAATAATATAATATAGTATATTGTATATACATATAATATTTATAATATTATAATGTAGTACAATATAATACTAGTAATAATAATTCAATATTATAATTATATATTTACATTACATGTAATATTACTAATAATATTACACTATAATGGTATAGTGCAGTATAGTAATATATACTGATATTGTACTATGCTAATAATATAATATATTGTATGAAAATATATATTGTAAGCCACTCTGAGTCCCCTTCGGGGTGAGAAGGGCGCCATATAAATGCCGCAAATAAATAAATAAATAAATAAAATTATTCGAGCCACACATGACCCATAATACAGGTCAATTTAATTTAAAAGCTGAGGATTGTTCTATACCTTTAAAGTGATTTAAATATTTGTTTTTAATTCTGTTCTAATGTTTCAATGTTGTTGGGGGTTAAATTATATATATTTTTAGTATGGTGAACCAGTTTAGGTCTTATTTTTAAGAGAGAAAAGCAGGATATTTTAATAATAATAATAATAATAATAATAATAATAATAATAATAATAATATGTTTTTAACAATTGGAGCCCCCAGTGGCGCTCCTGACACAATAATAATAATAATAATAATAATAATAATAATAATAATAATAATAATAATAATAATATGTTTTTAACAATTGGAGCCCCCTGTGGCACTCCTGACACGACAATAATAATAATAATAATAATAATAATAATAATAATAATAATATGTTTTTAACAATTGGAGCCCCCAGTGGCGCTCCTGACACGACAATAATAATAATAATAATAATAATAATAATAATAATAATATGTTTTTAACAATTGGAGCCCCCGGTGGCGCTCCTGACACGACAATAATAATAATAATAATAATAATAATAATAATAATAATAATAACATGTTTTTAACAATTGGAGCCCCCGGTGGCGCTCCTGACACGACAATAATAATAATAATAATAATAACAACATGTTTTTAACAATTGGAGCCCCCGGTGGCGCTCCTGACACGACAATAATAATAATAATAATAATAATAATAATAATAATAATAATAATAATAATAATAATATGTTTTTAACAATTGGAGCCCCCGGTGGCGCTCCTGACACGACAATAATAATAATAATAATAATAATAATAATAATAATAATAATAATAATAATGTTTTTAACAATTGGAGCCCCCAGTGGTGCTCCTGACATGACAATAATAATAATAATAATAATAATAATAATAATAATAATATGTTTTTAACAATTGGAGCCCCCGGTGGCACTCCTGACACGACAATAATAATAATAATAATAATAATAATAATAATAATAATATGTTTTTAACAATTGGAGCCCCCTGTGGCACTCCTGACACGACAATAATAATAATAATAATAATAATAATAATAATAATAATAATAATATGTTTTTAACAATTGGAGCCCCCAGTGGCGCTCCTGACACGACAATAATAATAATAATAATAATAATAATATGTTTTTAACAATTGGAGCCCCCGGTGGCGCTCCTGACACGACAAAAATAATAATAATAATAACAACAACATGTTTTTAACAATTGGAGCCCCCGGTGGCGCTCCTGACACGACAATAATAATAATAATAATAATAATAATAATAATAATAATAATAATATGTTTTTAACAATTGGAGCCCCCAGTGGTGCTCCTGACATGACAATAATAATAATAATAATAATAATAATAATAATAATAATAATAATAATAATATGTTTTTAACAATTGGAGCCCCCAGTGGTGCTCCTGACATGACAATAATAATAATAATAATAATAATAATAATAATAATAATAGTATTTAAAGATTGAACTGCAAAGACTCTGCTGACACGACAATAATAATAATAATAATAATAATAATAATAATAATAATATGTTTTTAACAATTGGAGCCCCCAGTGGCGCTCCTGACACGACAATAATAATAATAATAATAATAATAATATGTTTTTAACAATTGGAGCCCCCTGTGGCACTCCTGACACGACAATAATAATAATAATAATAATAATAATAATAATAATATGTTTTTAACAATTGGAGCCCCCTGTGGCACTCCTGACACGACAATAATAATAATAATAATAATAATAATAATAATAATAATATGTTTTTAACAATTGGAGCCCCCAGTGGCGCTCCTGACACGACAATAATAATAATAATAATAATAATAATAATATGTTTTTAACAATTGGAGCCCCCGGTGGCGCTCCTGACACGACAAAAATAATAATAATAATAACAACAACATGTTTTTAACAATTGGAGCCCCCGGTGGCGCTCCTGACACGACAATAATAATAATAATAATAATAATAATAATAATAATAATATGTTTTTAACAATTGGAGCCCCCAGTGGTGCTCCTGACATGACAATAATAATAATAATAATAATAATAATAATAATAATAATAATAATAATATGTTTTTAACAATTGGAGCCCCCGGTGGCGCTCCTGACACGACAATAATAATAATAATAATAATAATAATAATAATAATAATAATAATAATAACAACATGTTTTTAACAATTGGAGCCCCCGGTGGCGCTCCTGACCCGACAATAATAATAATAATAATAATAATAATAATAATAATAATAATAATGTTTTTAACAATTGGAGCCCCCAGTGGCGCTCCTGACCCGACAATAATAATAATAATAATAATAATAATAATAATAATAATAATATGTTTTTAACAATTGGAGCCCCCGATGGCGCTCCTGACACGACAATAATAATAATAATAATAATAATAATAATATGTTTTTAACAATTGGAGCCCCCTGTGGCACTCCTGACACGACAATAATAATAATAATAATAATAATAATAATAATAATAATAATAATATGTTTTTAACAATTGGAGCCCCCAGTGGCGCTCCTGACACGACAATAATAATAATAATAATAATAATAATATGTTTTTAACAATTGGAGCCCCCGGTGGCGCTCCTGACACGACAAAAATAATAATAATAATAATAATAATATGTTTTTAACAATTGGAGCCCCCGGTGGCGCTCCTGACACGACAATAATAATAATAATAATAATAATAATAATAATAATAATAATATGTTTTTAACAATTGGAGCCCCCAGTGGTGCTCCTGACATGACAATAATAATAATAATAATAATAATAATAATAATAATAATATGTTTTTAACAATTGGAGCCCCCTGTGGCACTCCTGACACGACAATAATAATAATAATAATAATAATAATAATAATAATAATAATATTTTAATAATTATATACATCTTTGTTAATAATAATAATAATACTAATAATAATAATAATAATAATAATAATATATATATGTTTTTTTTAAACAATTGATCCCCCGAATGTCTCTCCTGACCGTACATAATAATAATAATAATAATAATATGTTTTTAACAATTGGAGCCCCCGATGGCGCTCCTAATAATAATAATAATAATAATAATAATAATAATATGTTTTTAACAATTGGAGCCCCCTGTGGCACTCCTGACACGACAATAATAATAATAATAATAATAATAATAATAATAATAATATGTTTTTAACAATTGGAGCCCCCAGTGGCACTCCTGACATGACAATAATAATAATAATAATAATAATAATAATAATAATAATAATAATATGTTTTTAACAATTGGAGCCCCCGGTGGCGCTCCTGACACGACAATAATAATAATAATAATAATAATAATAATATGTTTTTAACAATTGGAGCCCCCGGTGGCGCTCCTGACACGACAAAAATAATAATAATAATAACAACAACATGTTTTTAACAATTGGAGCCCCCGGTGGCGCTCCTGACACGACAATAATAATAATAATAATAATAATAATAATAATAATAATAATAATAATGTTTTTAACAATTGGAGCCCCCGATGGCGCTCCTGACACGACAATAATAATAATAATAATAATAATAATAATAATAATAATAATATATTTTTAGGCTGGCCATCTGTTTAGGTCTTATTTTTAAGAGAGAAAAGCAGGATATTTTAATAATAATAATAATAATAATAATAATAATAATAATAATAATAATATGTTTTTAACAATTGGAGCCCCCGGTGGCGCTCCTGACACGACAATAATAATAATAATAATAATAATAATAATAATAATAATAATAATAATAACAACATGTTTTTAACAATTGGAGCCCCCGGTGGCGCTCCTGACACGACAATAATAATAATAATAATAAATATGTTTTTAACAATTGGAGCCCCCGGTGGCGCTCCTGACATGACAATAATAATAATAATAATAATAATAATAATAATAATAATAATAATATGTTTTTAACAATTGGAGCCCCCGGTGGCGCTCCTGACACGACAATAATAATAATAATAATAATAATAATAATAATAATAATATGTTTTTAACAATTGGAGCCCCCTGTGGCACTCCTGACACGACAATAATAATAAATAATAATAATAATAATAATAATAATAATAATAATATGTTTTTAACAATTGGAGCCCCCAGTGGCGCTCCTGACACGACAATAAATAATAATAATAATAATAATAATAATAATATGTTTTTAACAATTGGAGCCCCCAGTGGCGCTCCTGACACGACAATATTAATAATAATAATAATAATATGTTTTTAATAATTGGGCTATTCCATGAGGTCACGAAGAGTCGGAGACGACTGAACGAATGAACAACAACAACAATTGGAGCCCCCGGTGGCACTCCTGACACAACAAAAAAGCAAACAAACTAATTCTGGGCTTAATTCTTATTTAATATTTATGTATTGTGGATTTTCAATTGTATTTTTCTTTTGGTATTGTGAGCTGCCTCAAGTCTCATTTTAAATGGGAAATAATAATAATAATACTTTATTTATACCCCGCTACCATCTCCCCAAGGGACTCGGTGCGGCTTACATGAGGCCGAGCCCACAATACATCAATACAAGTAATAACATTCACAATACAAAGCAAAGCAATTAAAATAAATCTCATACACAAATAGCATGAACATAAACAAAAACACAATGCACATTTAAAAGCTATGGCTGGGCCAAATGTAATTGAAGTTTAAAAATAATGCTGGGCATGAGCAATATAGAGGAGATGGGGCATTGGTGGAAATGTACAGGCAGTCTTAAATCAGTATAAAGTGCTTTTAGAGGACATAATGCTGAGGGTTCATTATTCTGGCAAGGCACACTGGAACAACCACGTCTTCAAGCTCCTCCTAAATAATAATAATAATAATAATAATAATAATAATAATATCCCATTTTAAAATGAGACTTGAGGAAGCTCATAATACCAAAAGAAAAATACAATTGAAAATCTTCAACATATAAATATTAAAATAGAATTAAGCCCAGAATTGTTAAAAAATTATTATTATTATTATTATTATTATTATTATTATTATTATCATCATTATTATTGTTATTTGAAATACAACAAGATGAGTCCACAGCAGACACTCTGCTGGCTGTTGTATTGGATCACACGTCGGACCCTTCCCAAGTGTCTAGGACTGTGTGATGTATCGGCGAATAATGCGTGCAGATCCCAGTAAGGTGGCCTTCTGCAGCTGGCAGATGGTAATTTTGTCAGCGATTGTGTTTAAGTGCAGGCCAAGGTCTTTAGGCACTGCACCCAGTGTCTGGCCAAGGTCTTTAGGCACTGCACCCAGTGTGCCAATCACTGCTGGGACCACCTTTACTGGTTTGTGCCACAGTTCAATCTTTAAATCCTCATATCGTGTCAGTTTTACCAGTTGTTTCTCTTTAATCCTGTTGTCACCTGGGATTGCGACATCGACAATCCATACTTTGTTTTTAACACGATTGTGAGGTCAGGAGTATTGTGCTCCAAAACTCTGTCTGTCTGAATTCGGAAGTCCCAGAGGAGTTTGGCGTGTTCATTCTCTGCAACTTTTCTGGCTTGTGATCCCAACAGTTCTTTGTTGCAGGAAGATGGAATTTGTGGCTCAAGTTCCAATGAATCATCTGAGCAACGGTGTTATGCCTCTGCTTGTAGTGGCAATGTAAATATGTAAATAATTTTTGGGAGAAAGTATTTAGAGAAATAGAAACTATAATGAATATAAAAATAGATAAAAGTCCTAGTATAGCCTTACTATCATTATATAACAATAAGCAATTGAAAAAGGAGGATAAAGAAGCGATAACAAACTTACTAACTATAGCAAGACTGCTTATAGCAAGGAATTGGAAAAAAGAAATGAATATACAAATAGAGGAGTGGTATAAAGAAGCATGGAAAATAGCAATAAATGATAAATTGACATGTATATTAAAGGTTAAAAAAGGTACATGGAAACAAAGCGATTTTGATGCTGTATGGGGAAGATTTGTGGTAAATGGATTAAAAAATAAGGAAGGAAAATTACCGTCACAAGAAGAAATGAAATTTTGGACAGATGAAATGTAAGAATGGTGGCTTGAGACGGGTGGAGGGGAGCACTGTGGTGAAAAAGGAAAAAAAGAGAAAAGGGGGGGAAATGTCAAAGCAAAACAACTAAACAACATGTTAAAGAGGCTGATGTACAAAATGCAATAGTATGTAATAAATGTGATAAATCAATAAAAATTATTAAAAAAAAAAAGAATGTTTCTGGAACATGGCCAGACAGCCCGGAAAACGCACAACAACCTAGTGATTCCAGCCATGAAAGCCTTTGACAAAATAATAATAATAATAATAATAGTAAAAGTCGACAACAGGTTCCAAATGTAGACTCTGCAAGGAAGCAGGTGAAACAATAGATCCCATCCTCAGCTGCTGCAAGAAGATCACGCAGAGAGACTCCAAGCAGAGGCACAACACCGTTGCTCAGATGACCCATTGGAACTTGTGCCACAAACACCATCTGCCTGCAACAAAGAACTGGTGGGATCACAAGCCGGAAAAAGTTACAGAGAATGAACACGCCAAACTCCTCTGGGACTTCCGGATTCAGATAGACAGAGTTTTGGAGCACAAGACTCCTGACCTCACAATCATGTTAAAAAACTTGCAATCCCAGGCGACAGAAGGATTGAAGAGAAACAACTGGAAAAGCTGACACGATACGAGGATTTAAAGATAGAACTGAAATTACTCCGGCACAAGGCAGTCAAGGTGGTCGCAGTGGTGATCGGCACACTGGGTCCAGTGCCTAAAGACCTTGGCCTGCACTTAAAAATAATCGGCACTGACAAAATCACCACCTGTCTGCTACAAAAGGCCACCCTACTCGGATCTACACGCATTATTTGCCGATATTAGGAAGCGTCCAATGTGTGATCATATACAAAAGCCAGCAGAGCAATCTTGTTGCTGTGTACTAATCTTGTTATGTATCTAACAATAACAATAATACTACCTCTGAGGATGCTTGCCATAGATGCAGGCGAAACATCAGGAGAAATGCCTCTAGAACATGGCTCTATAGCCCGAAAAAACCCACAAGAACCTAGTGATTCCAGCCAAGAAAGCCTTCGACAATACATTGAACAATAATAATAATAATACATCACACAGTCCTAGATGCTTGGGAAGCATTCGACTTGTGATTTTGTGATACGAAATCCAGCATAGAGATCTCGTTTTCTGTGACATACTGTGCTTTTGTGTCAATAATAATAATAATAATAATAATAATAATAAAATCACACAGTCTTAGATGCTTGGGAAGTGTTCGACTTGTGATTTTGTGATATGAAATCCAGCATATAGATCTTGTTTGCTGTGACATACTGTGTTTTTGTGTCAATAATAATAATAATAATATTTCCTTCTCTTTCTCTAGCTTGCCAAAGGCAAAACGGAAGCGGCTCCGACTAAAGGAGGAGAACCCGGATTCAGACTAAGGATCAAGCCTTTTTTTTTTTAAAGAAAATTAAGTCAGCTTTTAGTCAGTGGTCCCATATTGGGGGCCATATATATCTCTGTATTCTCGGTGGCTGGAGGGGAAGGGACTCTCGCATGGCCTACACTGATTGAATGGGGAAACTGTCCGGTAATACATTACTATAATATTGCTTTGGGACCTCATCCATCGCGGTTTGCATTTCCGGTTCCCTGCCATTCTGCCAAAACTGGGGCAGGATTCAGACACGGTTCTTCTGTTGTGCGAATGCATTGGGGCTTGTAGCTTGGCCACTATAGCATTGAGTAAACTGCCGTTCGATATGGAGATTCAATCGATCTTCTTGGTTAATTCCAATCTTGAATGTCATTAAGTACAAAAGTTGACATCTCATCCCTCCATTGAATCCAGAGTAATTCCAAGACTGGTCATCATCATTTAGATGACCTTTCCCTATCAAACCCCATGCATTAGGAGTTCCTCTCCAATCACCTTCAGCTAGAGGTATTTTTTTTAATTTAGACAACCTTGCTATCTTTGTACTTGCTTCCCCTTCGCTTTTCTGAACTTCCCCATTTTGTAGCAATCCCTATTTTTATACCAAAATAAAATTGCATTTGTTTTTCCTAATGTTTCTGATCTTTGATTTCTGTGTCCAGGAGAGAGTGAGGCCTTTGAAGACGGGGAAGTGACTTTTGGTCCCAGCAGTTTTTGGCCAAAACTAACAAAATGAAGTTCATCAGGGACAAATGCAAGATACTCCACTTTGGCAGGAAAAACGAAATGCAAAGATAGAATCATAGAATCAAAGAGTTGGAAGAGACCTCATGGGCATTCCAGTCCAACCC